AAGTGCGTAAATCTCGTATTTCCTAATCACCCAGTGCGACCAAAAACCTTCCATTTCTAACGAAAAATATTATACAAGATGGCATACTATAGATGTAAGTGCTGTATATTCTTATTTCCCAGAAGGGTCATTCATGAAAATTTTGTAGCTCAAACAATCAAAACGAACAGCCACGATAGCTTTTAGTCAGGTGAAAGCAATCAAGATACGAAAAAACACTATTAAATAGATGAGGGTTAGCCCAGAGTAGCTTTCTTCAAAGTCAGAGGTCTGAGGAAGAATACCTCAAAAGATGAGTATCTGTAAAACAGGTTGTGCAAGGATGTCTTATAAACTGGAAGATTTAGCAAAAAACTGCAGCAGGACGTGATGAGCGAGTCGGTAAAAAAGGTCCGATTACTGTATACATATAGAAATATGTGTTAGCGTAATACACTACTACTGAGTCAGAGCTCAGAGCGTTAACACGCTAACAAAAATTTGTACGATTAGAATTAATTTGCTTGTGATGCCAAATGATCAGGCTTCTGGGCGTGAGGGCGAAGATTCGTACAGCATTTGCTTATATAATTACAATGCTATGATACCGATTCAAAACCAGATATATAAAAAAAGAGTCATCGAAAGGTTCGAAACATAGGTGCGATAAGGTGAGAATGACTCCTCCAGGGTGAAAGGGGTCATAGTGGTCGCAACCCCTCCAGGGTGAAAGGTGTTTTACTTGGTAAAGAAATCGTAAAATGTCGACGGGGGGAGGGGGGGGGGGAGAGCCATCATTTTTCCCAGTCAAAGTTCATAATTTCCAATTCCTTACCATCACTGTTTGTCTTTTTTCTGAAATGTAAAGTGATACGCTGCTGGATTAACATACAATTATATTTCTGACCAGCACCTTGTATTTTTTTACATTTCCTTTTTCCTTTTCTTACATCGCCCTGCCTGGTTTTGGAATTACCATAGTTGATGTGCATGCGAACATTTGCTTCGGAAAGAGTTAGACAATTTTTAAGCATTTAAAAATTTTTTTCAAAGAAATTCGTAATTTCTGTAGATGAACAGCAACGTCAGCAAGGTGAATATTTTTGAAACCATCTTGTCTTCCGCTTTTAGAGAATATATAGTTTGCCTGGAGTCTGTTGAAAGAGTGGTGAAGAGTGTGGGTAGTGATTTCTGGATATTTTCGAGTTTTTAGGATAGAAAAATCCGTAACTTCTGAAGATGAACATAATTTACACCGGTATGGCTACATTGAAACCGCCTCGCTTTCTGCTTGTAGAAAATATATACATTGCCTGGTGTCCGTCAAAAAAAGTGCCTGGATGAAGGGTGTCCTAGTAATTTCTGAAGATTTTAGAGTTTTAACATAAAAAATTCATAACTTTTTTAGGTGAACATCTTTCACGGCTAGAAGGTGACCATTAGAACCGCCTCGTTCTCCGCTCTCAGGAAATATACAGCATGTTTAAGATCCATTCAAAAAGACCTGGTGCAGGATGTGCCTAGCGATTTCTGGGAATTTTCGAGTTTTCCGAATAAAAAAATTCGTGACTACTGCAGATGAATAGCCGGTGCAAGGAAATAGTAACCTTCGGAACCGCCTCGTCCTCCGCTTTCAGAAAATATATAGACTGCCTGGGATCCATCAAAAAAAGTGCCTGGGTGAAGGGTGTGCTTGGTGATTTTTGAAGATTTTCGAGGTTTTATCATAAACAATTTATAACTTTTGTAGTTAAACATCTTTTACGCCGTGATAGTCACTATTAAAACCGTCTTATCCTCTGCTTTCAGAAAATATATACTTTGCCTGGGGTCCATTAGAAAAAGTGCCTGGTGAAGGGTGGGTGAGACTTTTATAATGGGAGTGCTCAAGTACAGGCTTTTTTACCATTGTAAAAAGGCGTCTACTTGAGCACTCCCATTACAAAAGTCTCACCCACCCTTCACCCGGCACTTTTTTTAACGGACCCCAGGCAAAGTTTATATTTTCTGAAAGCGGAGGACAAGACGGTTTCAATAGTGACTATCTCGGCGTACAAGATGTTCATCTAAAAATGTTATGAATTTTTTTATGGTATCTTTAAAAATCACTAAGCACACCCTTCACCCAGGCATTTTTTTGAATGGATCTCAGACATGCCATATATTTTTTGAAAGCGGAGGACGAAGCGGTTCCGATGGTTACTATTTCCTTGCACCAGGTGTTCATCTGCAGTAGTCACGGATTTTTTTATCCTGAAAACTCGAAAATTCCCAGAAATCACTAGGCACATCTTTCACCACGCACTTTTTTTAGCGAATCTCAAACATGCTGTATATTTTCTGAGAGCGGAGAACGAGGCGGTTCTAATGGTGACCATCTCGCCGTAAAAGATGTTCATCTACAAAAGTTATGATTTTTTTATGTCAAAAACCCGAAAATCTCCAGAAATCACTACTCACACCCGTCACCAAGCACTTTTTTCAACAGACTCCTCTTCTCCTATACACTGACATTTCACGTACAAATATCTCCTTTGCTTAACCTTACCTCACTGTTGATTTTTTTCTCGGCTTTTGGTGAAGGGGGTCACCTTAGTCCCCGTTCAGGGGTGAAGAGGGGGTGAGAAAAGTCTCACACTATCGCACCTGTGGTTCGAAAGCTTGAGCGAATCAGAAACTTGAAGAAAATCAAAAACATTATCGATCGCCTTTAAAACGCCTCTAAATAGTCTCTTATCGGTCTTGAATTTACGGAGTAAATATAAAATAGCAAACAGCTATTACTTTAGATCATACAACATATCTTACGTGATCTAATGTTCAATTACATTACATTTTGGACAGTCTCCGAAGAGAAGAAAATCAAATCAAAATTGATTTTGTTGAAAGATCACGTGGTATATTTGCTTTTGCTAAAAAATTCTTTGTGTGATATTTTGCAGAAAAAAGCAAATCAAGTTACTACCAAGTTATAGCACCACTCTTCTTGCATCCAAAGATTGATGTTTAAACGTAGCAGCAAAATTACAAAAGATGCCGTAGTGCAAGAAAAAAATTGGAATCATCAGTGAAGCAATACCAACAGTTTAGTAAGATCAGGGAGACAAATCCGAATCCTTTCTATCGAACTTGCGAAGGCATACCAATGTGTTACCCTAATCTCACGCATATAAGGCGCGGGGGATCTTTTTCCAAAATCGACCAGCCCAGACGAGCCAAAGGACTTTACAACAAAGGGACCCTATAACGTGTTGTATATTGCGAGAGAATCGTGCGATGCAAGGATTTCTTTCCGGAATATGTACACTGAAGCGGCTGAGCGACTTGCTTGAAAATTCGAAAAAGTGCGCCTTATACGCGTGAAGTTAGGGTAATTATGAAAATCAAGAAACCATATTCTGTCATCTGCTTTCAACATCAAAAAAGAAAAAAAATGTAAAACTGGTGAAAATTTCTGGTGTTTTTCTCAATTCTCAACAAATGCAACAAACGCACCAGCCATTGAAGATGGCTGTTGCGGTTGGAATCGATCAAATGGGTACCAAAAATTACAATAAAAAAATTGGGGATTCTGAGAGCATGCATACCTTGGCTTGGGTCCATTTCGGAAAAGGAATTAGCAAGATCAGATTTGTGGCGAACAGGCGTTTGCGTTGGTGATGGCAAAGTTGAATTATCCCTGAAAGATAAGGTAGCAGCGATTATAGGAATAAATAACACAAAGCATACTTATAGCCAGTTCCATAAACAAAGACATGGTCAACTGTTGAGCTTTCCTCACAATTCGATGAGCAGGATTCTTCTAAACCAGCTATATTAATGATAAGAAAAATAAACAAAAAAGGTTCTGGGTTATTTGGCTTGCTTGTTTGAGTTTATTATTCTTCGTGGTGCATCTGAGTGTAAATCAAAATGAAATAAAAATGAAACAAAAAACGAAAACAATGAACTGCTTTTGTCAGAGTAAAAGGGTAATTAATGAATGATGTGAAATCGAAATGAGCACTTACGCAATGAGATATGATCGTCAGCTTCGAAAAGATGAGATCGATTGAGGAGACGAGATGAGTGAAATGTCAAATCGTTGTAAGGAAACAAATCGTGTACCAAGCCAGCGTCTATGATCTGAAATTGGCTTATAACATACAAAAAAATGCTCAACATTTTGTTCAACCGACTCAAATCTTGGTATTTAGGAGCTCTCCAAGGTTTGCGATAACCGAAAACCCAGTTTCACAAAACCCAATCTTTCGCTTCTTCTATAATTGGTCGAAAATCTTGACAATGCGCGCGTAACTAACAAAAAAACGTTTGCACTTTTCATAGCCTTAGTGGCAGAAGGCGGCAGCGGAAACATGAAAACGTATTCCAGGTAACCACGCAGAAAAATATCACGCCCTGTAGGATTGAGAACATGAGTAAAAATTTTGCCTAAGCCAATTCTACTTGCCAGATGGAGCCACAAAAAAAGCTAGTTCTCATGCTTAGGCACACTAAGATGGGACAAGAAGTTCGCAAACGCGGCGCAGTATCCAGGCGAAGTGGCCGCGCGAGACTGGGCCACTAGAGTCAGGAATCCAAATGAGACATAGGGTAAATCAGCCGTCTATTTCGGGATGCAATTTTGAATTCCCGCCTTGCTTGCCTGAATTATTGGAGTGGGTTTTGTCAACCTGTGAGAGCACGTGAAACGTCTACAGAAATGAAGAGGTGGAAAGAATGAGTGGTGGGGGGGGGGGGGGGAGGAAAAATTTCGGTAGATTGATGGGCGTGGAGTTGCAACCCTGCAAAGAAATCTCCCTTTTACAGTTGATTTGAATTACAAAATTTAATGAGCGTTAATCTTCTAACAAATTCTAGCCATTTTACATTTTTTGTCCATGTCATACTACTTAAGGGTAACCGACTTCGCTTGACCTACATTACTTGCGAACAAAATTAATATTTTTTTGCATTCATAGACAACACAACGATGGGCATTTATTGTTGTGAAAAAATTAAAACTTACTTTGTTAAGTGCATTAAGAGCAGAGAATAGCCTGCTCGTCCCGCTTTTGTTGATGAAAGTATAGCAGAAAGTCGTCATTTGGCTGAATAACCATATAATTCGCATTTTCTTTTGTTTCTTGTATGATGGTGTAGATGATTCGTATTCCTCGATTGCAGTCTGAATATTTTTTCGAATAAAAAAGCTGCTGTGACAATTTAGATTTCACTTACACTTATCATCTTATGAAGTAAGCCACCTAAGTGAGCATCAAACGATTCGCGATTGACATTTTGCGGAACACTTTCCATTTGTGGAGAAAACTTCATTAGCGTGGTCTTAAGTACAAAAAAATTATTATATGAGACGGTCAAAGAACTAGAGACAAAAAAAGAGGGAAAGAGGAGACTATGTCGCAGAAAGAGGAAGGCCCCGCGCGGACATCTGCGACAAATATGTACCTCGAAAAGTAACATGTACCTGCAGTTTGTGCCAGCTGTCCGCTAAGGGTGGAGCCTATTGGCGACAACATATCTTCTTTATCCGAAACAAAGATTTTAATTTTTTGTAACCTACCACGAGCATGTCCAAACACTCTGGATTGCAAGCCATTCTCTTCAAAAGTTCCCATGCTTGCTCCCATGTAAATGAATCCACAGCCGGATCTGTATAAAAATTGCTCAACAGCATTTTTTCACTACATTGAAAAAATGAGATCTCACATTCCTTGGCCGACTTGGTCTTTTTGTGCAAATGCAGACTGATGAGACTTTTTCGACGAGCAGACTCTTTAGCGGAATTGGTATCAAGCATGCTACAAGTTGACACTGAAGGTGCGGCCGATGGTTTTGACGAGAGTGGCATTTTGTTCAGCGATTTCTCGCCTTGTGAAACTGAATATACAATTTTAGCATGGAACGAGTTTATGAAATAAATATGTATATGAACGGGTAGTAGATGAGTAAGCAAAAGAGTAGCCAAACGGTAGAATGGTGTTAACAGGGACTTAGTTCAATTGTGGTACTGACATCTCAAAAATCGCCAGTTTTAAGTCCGCGCACTGCTTGCTATTTCTGACTTCAGCATTAAACAACCTTTTTATCATATGGCATCGTTTATAAACCATGATGTGTGTCTCTTTTGCTCCTAATAACGACTTGTCTTATTAGCTTTGGCTTATATGCTCTCCTAGAAACAGGAAAATTTTTGTCGCATTCTGAAAATCTTGCAATCGAGGTCCTAAGCAGAGCATAGCGTTTGACTACTTCGGCTCAAATGCAGTGTGGTTGCAAAATTTCCTCCTCTATTTGAGGCCTGTCAGATAAAATGATAAACAGAGCTCTCAAAATCTGAAACGCTTCCAAAAAATTCTACACGTTAGTGAAAGTTAGATGAGAGTTACTTTAACTTTTTCAACAGCTCTAAAAACCTCATTACTGTTGAATAGGGCTTCCCTCCTTATCAGAACATTATCATTTCTACCATTTTATTTTTCATGTTCTCCTTCTGATTCATTTTGTGTATTTCAAGCATTTCTTTTTTCCAATTACTCAGTCAAGTTTTTTAGTAGTATAAAACAGAAAAATTGGAGGGTTAGCCTTTACGCAGCACGACGGATTCTGAAGTTTCGCCTCCTACAGTGAACCAAAACCTCATTGTGGAAAAAAAGAAATTTTTCAAGACGTTCCCATGTCCTTTTATTGTTGGGTCAATTATTATCAGACTACTCGCCATTCAAATCTTTTTTTATGCGCGCGAATTCGCATTTCATACGTTTTTGCGAGCAACTGTAGCAAATATGTAGCATAAGGATACGGTAAACTGAACTTTCCAAGCATAAAAATTTTGACTTCTTCGAATCACTTATGGAAATTGAGCCGTAGACTATATAAATAGCAGTAAGTTCACGTATAGATCAAAATGAACCCTAAGATTTGCTCGAATATCCTAGAAGAACTGTTGCGTAGATTTGATGAAGTAGTGAAGGAGGAACAAGCTCAAAGGTAAACTCACCATTATCCACTTGGAGCTGATTCCAATTCTTGAAAAGAGGGGCAAGAGTTGGCTTAGACGAGCTATCATTCTCCCATCCAGCACAAGCACTTTTAAATAGCTCTTCGATGCAAGTATGTTGCAGTTTTTTCAACTCTGGTGCTAGATCGAGCGGGCAAATGCCTCTTATGTTTTTTTGTTCAACTCTGTAAAGAGATGTATAGATTTAATACGACTACAGTAAGACTACAGTAGACGTACTGTGCACCAAAAAAGATCAAAGTGTGAAGACACGGCCAACATATTGGCGAGTCCCGAACAGCTAACATCAATGGGGTATTACCGTCATCATCACCTGTAACAGCTAATTTCATATCCTAATTTGATGGTCCCAGCCCTCAACAGTACCTAAATTTACGTCAGCTCCATAGGCTACTAGAAGAGCAATCAGTTCGCTACTCTGTGCTCGTACAGCTACACCAAGAGGAGTTTGGTCGACTATGGAAGCAACTCTTAGCTGTAGACAAGTCGAACATAACTCTGGTGTCATTGATTGGGTACTAAATGGTAAAGTTATTTATTTGCGGTAGTTTGACAGCTAGTCCTAGACAAAGACGGGAGTCTATAAGTCAAGCAAGGGCTCGCTGACGCGCTCCAGGGATAATAGTTGCGCGAGAGATAGCTCACGCTTGCTTGGCTAATGCGAGCCTTTGTCTTCGCCTAAGACTAAGCTTCAAAAGAGGTTTTATGAAGATCTTTGTCGACAAATTTTTTTTGCAAAACTACAAATAATCGGGAACTATGATAGATGTTGAACAAACCGTGGTATAATAGATGAAAGAGGAATGTTGCCAGTTGCTGTACAGTTTCCTTTACAGTGACAGCTTGCTGGAGAATTTGGATCATAGCCAGATCGCAGAAGCAACTCAACGATATCCCTTTGTTTGTGTGCTACAGCCATATGTAGAGTATTCATCACCGCACATGTTGATCTAGGAAGTAATATAATAATATACTAGTTTCCCAAGAACTTACATATGTTCTAGTTTCGCTTACAATTACACGTACCGCCTTTGAACTGACGTTTATTATGTCTAGTACTTTCTAACATTGAAACAGCAAGTCATTATGGAACTGATGCATAAATACTGAGTTTCTTTGAGTAAACACGCAAACTGGCAGGTGCAACCAAGTTAAAAACCGAAATGGAAAAAATGACTTGTAGAAAAGAGTTGTAGCCAATTAATTTCGAAAAGCTGCAATCCACTGCAGTAAGATTATGACTTCAACTTTCTGGAAAAATCGAAGATTATAGAGGCCCTTCGGTGTCAACACTACTTCCTCGTGAATACGCACATTTACGAACGTGCGCTCCACGGCCATTTTAGGCCCGCCAAACGTGTCCCACCTAATTTTTGACCTCAAACCGATTGATGAGACCTGTATTCGCCCAAACTACTACTAAAAAATCTTACTTTCGCTCAGCGAAACAACATCATTTTTAGCAGGTAAAATGGCCAAATTTTTAACGTATAGCTGTGTCCCTACATTAGTGTCGGGACCTCAGATACGAGTAGGTCACTATGGATTGCAAAACAATATTTCACTTGTGCATCACTTGTTGTCGCCTTTGAACGGGGGGCTGAAAACATGGCTTAATCTTCTAAACAGCAGATTTTCTCATATTCGTCATAAGCAGTGCGTCGTCAACAATTGACGGAAACGGTTTTTTTCAGAATAGAAGTTAACCAGTGATAGTTTATTCACTATTTTTGCTACCAAACGCAGAAAAACAGCAAAAGTGGTGGTCAAATAGTGTACTTGAGATGCCGGCAAAAGTGAAGAAACGCCATGAAGCGCATTTTCAAGTTTTGCGCTCCATGGCCTTTCTCACGCGCAAGTGTTGTCTGCACCGCAAGGACACACTATATTAAGAGTCAAGTCTAAACTGTAATAAGAACCTATTTGTTATGTATAATGTGCGACTCCGCACTGTGTAATATCAACCTTTGGACACCCAAGTGCATACCGTGCGCAAAATGATTCTATGCTTAGTTACAGATCACAAATGCAGCGTAGTGAACTTATTTAATAGGGGTGTGGTAATTGGCAGTGAGCATAAAAAAGTACAAGGTCATTAGTACATTTAAAGGTTCGCTACATCAAATGCATCAAAAATCTTGCATCAGAAAGCTTGCTGTTACTTTCTGTCGCACATAATTTCGTAGAGCGTGATCGCTGAGTTACACAAAATGTAGGAAAGCTTAGCTCTTTATAAAATGTATTAATAAATTATGAAATGAGTAAGTGGACACATGACGTGACGTATACAGTGAAACTTAAGCCACGCCCACAAGTCCAGGTTACCGTAGCGTGTCGGGACCCATTTCGGCCAATGATATGACTTGTCAACCAATTTGGCGCCCAAAAACGGAGGTTGTTTTGTGCTCAAAATTCAACAAAGTTACCCTCCGCATCTGTGCTCGCGAGTACTGAGCATTGAAAAAAAAAACGCAGTTTGATGCTATTTCTGATCAAGAAACGGTTACAGTCTTTTTAGAGGGCGAAGGACCTCCTGTGGGTTTCGCGCGCGATCTCTTAGCCGGTGTCGGTGCGGTGTCGCTAAGTGGACTAAAATTACTAGTTATGTAATAAAGACGCACCATAAATTAAAATTAGTAATTTATCTGTGCCAAACTCTACGAACGTTTGAACACAATACAGTTACAAGAATGAGCGACACGTTTGTATGCACAACTGCTGTGTTTCTCTGCCCTTATCCAGCTCCGCTGAAAACCTAGCCAATCAGAGCCGGCGCTGACCAATCAGAGGCGCCCGCAATGGTGAGAGGTGCAAAAAAAGCCGTCTTCCTTCTCTAAACAGCGGGAAAAGATCAACGAACAGCTTACCGCCCACTAGAATGTGCCGATACAGTACTGCTTGCATTCGATCGCCTATGGACATTGCTGGCACCATGACGTCTTTGAGCCAACTCTGTCAGAGTGTTTGTGCTCCCTGTAATCAATTAACTTTATTATAGGTCCCACTTCATCATCAGAGTAAATCAATTTTACTGAAACTCGAATCAGATGTGTCAATATTGTTGGTTTATGTGCTCGAGTTGAACCAAAATTTCAAAAGACGTCCATAAAAACTCAAAAAAAGATCGTTTAATAGATTCTTTGTACTTACACTTCCTGTCAGAAATAAAATCATGAGTATGCTTATTATTGTTGAATGCAAATAAATCCATGACTCAAATCAGTCATTAGCTAAGAATGTGTAGGACGTATAGATAAATGCACTTAATCTCCTACTATCTGATACAGCATTCTCTTATTACGAAGCTCCGTTCAGATTTCAGGTCTATCGATGTTAGTGAAGAACAACTTTTTTTTCGCAATTACATAGTCAGAGAAATCGCAATGCTTATTGTGTCATTGGTAGTTGAGATCCACTAAAGAATTCTTGACATACTTGTAAGTTTGTTGAATTGGTTGTCCTCGATCTAACAAACTCAAGCTTGACAGTTTCATTTGAGATTAGTTAGTTACTGATAAAGCTAGCTAAGCTAAAATGAACAAAAGTCATGATATTTTCATGATACAACTTTAGCACTTCTAAATATTTGATTAGTCATTTCTGTTATTTTGATACGGATGTACGCTAGGGAATTATTCAGAAATGAAAGATAAAATATGAAAAAAATGAGAATCACTAGAAAAAACTTCTAGTTTCGTAAGTTTCTTGAACTGATTTGAATAACGAATATTCCTCTGAGAGTAGTGTAAAGCGTAAGAAGAGAGATTATCAAAATAAATAGCACTGCGCTTCACAAGGTCCTCAAGATGAAAATGGAGGAGGAAAAGACCAAAAAAAGAAAACAAAGAAAGCAAGCACAAACACTCACAAATTTTCTCAGTTTCGCAGAAAAAAATTTTGGTGCAAATGATGAAGTTTTTACCGCTGTCGTATTATGTTATATTCATTAACTTATATACAAATAACCAATAAGTTGAATAAAAATTGTGGGGCATTTATTTATTCGCTTAATAGATATTGCGATACTGGTGAACCAGCAATCTCAATGGTGCTAGTTGCAGGCGCGCTCGCTTCGGGACCCGCTCGGTTTCCCGCTAACTGATGATTTTCTAATGCACATTGCGGTTCTTTATATATGAGATTAGATTTGCTCAGATGATTTGGATTACTTTCTTCTCGCAAAAAATCTCTGCTGGTAAATAAATAAACACCGACAATTCATTCACTTCAAGATTGAATATTCAAGAAAATGGTTGGATGCGGATGACGAAGTGACTATTTTTATAATGGGATAGACTGAAGGGTACTGATCTAACCCAAGTCGTAAAATTTTGTGAAAAACTCACCAATGCTTGGCGAAGTAGACATGGGTTGTTTGGAGTTATGTGCAGCAAGTAATCGTTCGAGCAGACTCACATCCTCATAATGAATGGCCTTAACATTGCGTCTCAAATTAACTCAGTATATGTAACACGATAAAAGTGAAAAGATTCGGTCAAGTTCATGGTTCAGTGAGTTCGCGAAAAAGGCAGTGTTCCAAAAATTGTGAGTTTTCTGGGAGATTAAATGCTTTTTGTGAATTTACAGATGTTGGCACAAATCGAGGCTGACAGGGAGTGAATATGAGAGGAAGGGAGCATTAGTATGTATTGACTGCGTCATACTAAAATCTTTATCAGCTCAGTCTGAAGCTCATCTATCGCAGCTAAGTCTTGGCTTCGTGCCGATTTTAGAGAGGAGTTTTAGGCGAATGGTTTGTCCAAGCAATTCACTACTAAATCTAGATGTTCAACATGTCCATAGTTTCATATTTCTGCGTTCAGTTCATTTTTTACTTTCTGATGACTATTGCCTAACTTTTCGACCAGTCGTAGGCGCACTTTTTGAGCAATAAATAAAACAAAATAGATAAAAATATAGTTTCCGTGACAATAACAACAGCAAATTCATGACGAAGATGTTTTCTAGTTTCTCTGAATTCTTGATTTCTCGCCAACAACTTATACAAAGATGACAAGAAAGTAGTAGCTTCAAAACTTTCAGCAGCATCAATCTTGAAGTTAGCACATTTAGCATCAGAGGAATGTCAAAGAAGAAGCAGTTTCACACTGGATAACCATTTTTTATGGATTCACAATCAAAAAACTCACCTCAAGCATAATTTCCGAGAGATTCTGTGATACAGACGTCTTGCGGTCATCTCTGTAAAACAAAAAATGGATGATTTTAGAAAGTTCAAAATTCAAATACTATAGCAGATGCAATGGTTAGCTATTGAATAAATTCGGTCGCTTTGTCCAGTGCTTGGTATTTCCATAAAAAGCACTCTAATAAGATTTAGAATATAAAGTTGGAGTGAAATTTATTCTCCTATGAAAAAAAGACGCATAAAAGTGAGAAACTCCAAATTTCTCTTTGTACGCACCTGTGAGGAAATTTTGTTTTATCTGAACCAAACAGTATAAAGTTAGCAGACTGCAAATTTTGTTTCTATACGCTAAGTAGAGAAAACTGGGTGTTTCTAAATATCTGCTTATCTCTGCATTAATCAGAGCATGAAAATGAAGCCTAGAAAGTCTCTAAGAACTGAGCATTTGAAAATCTAGTGATATTGGGGTGCAACTATCCTTTGCTGACAATAGAATATTCTGGATAATTGATATGTGATAGTAGGAGCTTTGATTGGAAAATTTTTGTGGAGATTTACTTGAAAAAGCTAATTTTTAAGCCAGCATGATATTTATTTCCACAAACATCTCTGTTTCGTGATCAAAAAAAAATTCATTACCTTTCCCTGGTCACCCGATGTGATGCTCCAAATGTGAACGATCTTCCAGTATCGGTTGGTGTACCAACAAGCGATGAGCATTCACTGCTTTCTCCAGTGTATCTCCGACCGAAAACATATTGTTAAAAACTTTTGCGCTGATCGTATCTCGAGGGCACATACAATTCAATGTAACCATACAATTCATTGTAATGTTTGATCCAACATATGTCAGCATAGAAAAATACAGAAAATTCTAGAATTCAGAGTCTCACAATTTTGCACACGTAGAGTATATGAGTGAGGTATTTTCAATGGTTAGTACTGGAGAAGAACAACGCGATTAAGAGTGAACTGTAAAAGTACGAAGTGATCTCAAAACTACCAACAATAGAGCACTGCTTCATGATTCGAGCAGCATTCACTTTTAGAAATAAAGCAGTGAGCCACATTCGCGCAATCTATTATGTTTGGTGTAGCGGGAATTTTTTTTTTGCAAAAAAAATTTTCATTTCGCTAATTACTATCAGGCTAGTCCATAAGCTAGCACCAAGAACTCTTCAAAAGTAGTGAGTATTCGTGCTCTTTTAACGAATTTATTCAGTTCAACTAGCTTGAAAAGAGAAAATCATGAACTTTCCAATAGTACTCAAAGCAAAAGTCCATATTGGAAGTCACTGAGATAAAAAGTATTGAAACGAACATGAATCGAAAATTTTTGCATTATGGTCTAATAATGCTAGAAGGCCCAAAAGACGGCTTACTCACTTTAACCGCAAGAAATTTGTGGTGATTGAATTTTACTAATGTTTATGGTTTTGAGTTTTTTGAGCTTGACATTTCAGTTTTATTTTATATAAAATTTCTAATATGCCGAGTGGATAGAGCACTTTCTAGTTTTCAAAAAATATAAAACATTATCTGAAAAGTTTGGAAAATTTTTGAGCGAATTTATGGTTTGTTTTTTGCAGACTTATGGAACAACCTACGAATAGGTCGGTCCAAGTTGTTCGTGTCATTTTTGGAGCAATCTCTGAATTTTTTCGCAACAAAGACAGACTAGCACTCGATGTACCACTTGCAGCAGAAGTTCTTGCCCTTCCAAAACATGCGCAAATCGTAAACGAAAATATTTGAGTCACAATGACATAATATACAAAGACAAAAACAAAAACAAAAAATTAAAACGACAAGAATACAAATTTCCAATTTCAGTTTTGATCCTAAGATTAAATCATGCTATGACAGCTGCAATTACCAAACGCCATTAATTATTATTAGAAGAAGCTATAATGTGAAATACCACTGCATAATGAATAATATAACTTATTGAGCTGTCTCACACTAATAGGAATCTCGATTAAATGATAAAATTTACATCTTGTCCCTACCTATTGGTCGTATTTCCTCTAACACACCTGCATTCAGCTGAAATGCACCGCTGATATGACATGAAAGAAACGGGAAATGACACTTATATTTTGTTCGAAAGCCTTTTTCAAGCTCTTTCCATCAATATAATGCAAGATTTACCACCAATCTCCAATCAACTGTTTTCTTTTCGTGAGGTGATGTCCATTCATCGACCTTTAAATGACTTCAAAAATTCTTTTGATTGTTGTACCTATCTTCTTGCAATTGGAAACTACATAATTGTTAAAAATCGGTGGAGGACTATATTTCACCGAAAGGAGGTGGTCTCACGCGGACATCTGCGACAAAGTAGGCAACACCGTACATTACGCACACTAGGGATTTGTGCCAGCTGTCCTCGCGGGGTGGAGCCTATCGGCGACATTAATCCCCTACCCTTAAAAATCCATTTGAATAAATGAAAACATTTGCAAGATCTAGTGTATTTTTTTCATTTGCCGCTAATTTAGTTCAATATACAGGGTGTCCCAAAAAATGTGAACACTGTTTGATCGTTTATAACTCCTTTACTTTCAATCTTTCGCCGAGCTTGAGGACCATTTTTTTATAGAGCGAGATATTAGGTTGTCAAGAAAATAATGTCCGTTTTTATTTGCTTGCTTTAACAAAGCAACAAAGACTCAACCCAACAAAGGGTAAGGGATACTGTTCGATAGAGCAAAGCAAGCTCTACAAGATGGCATTCAAGATTTTGCGCCATGCTCGATCCACGGAGAGTTCGAACTCAAAATCTAAAGATTTCCAAATGCCCAAAAAATCGAAAAAAATCAGATCTTCGTCCAAATAATTTCTACGGACCTCCCACTCGCTCACATCAATACTATCGATATCTGATATCCATATGTGCGATTGCCGTATTTTTTCCTTGACTAGAAATTGAAAAAACGAAAATTTCCCTGATTTTCTCAAAGCAATGCTGAGCCGTTTTTGCATATGTAGTTCTATACTACAAGCCTAGGTAAGTATAACTGTAGATTTTCAGCCCATTCCAATTGGTACTTTTCGAGAAGTGTCGATTTTAGCACTGAAACTGAAACGAAAAAATCCGAATTCGTTATTTTTCGAAAAGTACCGCTTGGAATTGGCTGAAAATCTACAGTTATACTAACCTAAGCTTGTAGTATAGAACTACATATGCAAAAACGGCTCAGCATTGCTTTGAGAAAATCAGGGAAATTTTCGTTTTTTCAATTCCTAGTCAAGGAAAAAATACGGCAATCGCACATATGGATATCAGATATCGATAGTATTGATGTGAGCGAGTGGGAGGTCCGTAGAAATTATTTGGACGAAGATCTGATTTTTTTCGATTTTTTGGGCATTTGGAAATCATTAGATTTTGAGTTCGAACTCTCCGTGGATCGAGCATGGCGCAAAATCTTGAATGCCATCTTGTAGAGCTTGCTTTGCTCTATCGAACAGTACCCCTTACCCTTTGTTGGGTTGAGTCTTTGTTGCTTTGTTGAAGCAAGCAAATAAAAACGGACATTATTTTCTTGACAGCCTAATACAACTTAGATATTATTGTAGGATTACGGTATGAACTTTGAGAAGGGCTTTAGGAAAGTAAAAGCGATTTTGCCTCGGAAAGAAAACCAAACAAGCCAGAAACACTTGTACTGGACTAAAACCGAAGTCGCTGATTCTAAATAGGGAAATTCTACTTCACTGTAATTCTTATTCCATGAGTTATCTCAGATTTAGGGTAACATCTGTATTTCCAATGTTTGTCAGAAAAGTGATTACACCATTAGAAGAGCTCAAAAAACTGGTGAAAAGTTGTGTACTAGAAACAGCACGCCTTAAAAGCTTACTACACAAATTTTCAGATTTGGAATTGTTTCCATCAGCCTATTTGCTGAAAGTTCATACCGTAATCCTACAGTAATAAAGAGCGCTTGATAATTCTGTCCATATGTAAGCCTAAGTTACCTCGCCTTACATGATACCTCAAAAACGGCGAAAGACGTGAAAGCAAGAGAGTTATCAACCACACCCTGTATTCTGAAGTTTCTCACAGCAAACTGTAGTGTCGTGCAATAACACAACTAGCAAAATAATAATAAGAAATAATTTGCTTGCACAAAAGTGAGCGCAGAAACTGTTCGATATATCCTAAGAAGAATTACCGTTTCATCCAAATCATATCAGCAGTTTGACTACAGTATCGCTACACGCAGTTCAGCCAATAGACGAGCACAGTCAGGAGGAAGAGATCATGTTAGTGTTTAATCAGGATTTCTACTATACCATGTTTCTCTGCCAGCTTCCCATAGCTACCTCCGCTAAGAAACCGCAGCGCACACTCGGGATGCGCTGCGGTTTCTTAGCGGAGGTAGCTATGGGAAGATGGCAGAGATGCGCTCGCTACTCGTTCCATTCATTAGAAATTTCGTGTTTTTCTCTCTTGTTTGATTTTATTTCTGTAAGATCCTTCATTTCAAGTATGAGCGATCACAACAATAGCAGACGAAGAGCTTTTACGTGTTTTGATGGTTCCTAGAGTTTGATCTTGGGTGGTTTTCCGCTTTTCTCAAAAAGTTAAGATCTTAATGGCCTTCAGAGTGATTGATTTCTTTTTTCCTCGAAAAGAATAAGCGCGTCCGATCAATTTTGTAGAATTTGGTTGCTTCTGAGCTCATGTGAAGCTTTTCCATAGACCACTAAGGCTTTGTCTGTTGCTCTTGTTACTTTATTTTTGAAATGTTCATGTTTACAGAGCGTAAAAATGCTTTATTAACATTGAACGAATGAAGGGCATGAAGACTTGCGCGCGCTGCGCCTGCGACGCGGATGTCCTTATGGGAAGCTGGCCGTGGTACACACTACTATACGTTATCAAAGCTCATTAAGTTACATAATTCGCTGTGTAGTGAGTGATCTATTCCACAACTACAGTTTCCTCTAAAAATGAGTTATGGTATTGACAATCTTCTTAGTCAATTTCAAATTCTTCGTTCGATTTGTAGCAGTCTTTTTTTGGATACCCGCACTTCGTAAAATCTTTCAGGTGTTTTCGAAAATAACTTCAATTCTATGCACAAAGGATATGTAGGGTAATTGATTTAACAAAAAAGAACCTTGGAGCAGTGCAATCAACAGACTCGATTGCGAAAGTTTTGGAAAGTACTAACGCTTTCAAGCAGATTGCCGATTATTAATTTCAAAATTCAAGATCTCCACAAATGTTCGAAACGCTTCTAGAATGATAGAATAGAATAGTGAGCCAAGTGATACACAGATGTGGACCACAAATCTCGAAAGAACCGATTTTTGGACTCATTGGCACAAGTGGAGTTAGTAAATAGGAAATTTATAGGAACTCAAAAAAATTTAAGAATCCGGCTGTCGCCGCTGACTGAGTCAAGCATGGAACAAGCAGTTTCAACTATCGAAACTATATAGAAAACTCGGTTTTATTACATGGTGAACAAAATTTGGATCGGATTGCATTTCAAACTTGGGATCAAAAAAAATCTCAAAAATCTTGAATATGAGAACAAAGAAAACAGATGGTTGCGTTACTACTGGTAAAGATTATGCTATTGCACGAATTGTATCCAAAAAATGCAAAAAACATCGCCTTGAAAGGCAGGAAAACTCCAGAAAGTTTTCGTAGTTTCAACGTCACAACGCAAAAGAAGAAAAAAGGAGATTGGATAAGGCAGCGCACGGCACTGAAATAGGAGCCTGCTTCATAGGCAC